TGCTAAGCAAGTGCTACTGCATTTATTCAATAAAAAAAGGTCAACTGCTCCACTTCATTTTCAGGATGGAAAATACTTACTTTCTTCCTGCATTCGTGCTAAAATTTGCACATCTGTAACATCATTTAGCTTGTAATTAGACCCAATAGAGTCTTCATCCATCTCTGATGCACTTAATTCACTGTCCAGAGAGGACTGTGGGCTTAGCGGAGGGTTTCTGTCTGCTGAACTTTTAAGATGACCTATAGAAAGAAAATAAAATAATAGAAAATGTTAAAAAAACAAGGGGGGGGGGTGGGGCAAAAAAGGCAAGCTGTATTTCCTTTCCTAGTAAGAGAACCACCAATCTGAAAACAAAATAGATTATGACCGAGACATTGAACCTGACAGACCATTTGAAACATTTGATTGCAAACCTAGGCTGAAAATACAATTTACACAAGCAGAGCTTAGCCATTACCTCTAAAAATGAGCAACTTTATAAAATCATTATAATGGTGGCAAAACAAATAAATGACATACAATCTGGTCTACCTGTACCAAGTTTCAACTGCTCTGTTTGCACAGCTATTATAGAAAGAGCAACTGCATACCTGTTCCATTTGTGCTTTTATTCTCATCTCTGCACGCTACCTTGTAAGACGTAAGTTTGACGATATCTTTCTTGACAATAAGGACTTGCTGAGCCAATGAATATTGATACAGTTTGGAATGCTTAAAATACAGTTTATCTGAAAATACTACCTGTTCTATGTATGCACCTTTGCTAAACTGTAACATACCAGAAAAACTCTTCCCATTTGCTGCCTTCTGGCTGACACCCCATCGCCAGTTACATTTCATCTCTGTCCTGCAGGGAGATACAGCACTGTAGCACACAATGCAGATCAGAACTACATAGATTAAACCAGAACCTGGGTAATGGGTGTGGCAAATATACTACAGTGCGGGCTTCCCTTTCCAAGTCCACAGTGAAGTACAGACAGTTGGACTGTCAATGAAATGTTTTTTCATCTTCCCTACAAGCTAACTTCAGTTAAAGTATATATAATAAGCCAACATTCTGACTTCAGAGTAGAGATACGTTCCAGGCATCAACTTTTCTGATGCAAATAAAGCATCTATGGTGCAGAATAAAGGCAGAAAACATTGCCAGAAGTTATAGTGTTTACATTGATGACTGTAAAGCCTCAAGGAATGCCTTTAATTAAAATACATGCTTCTTCCTTAGATTACATTGTTCATATCTTAGATGTACTGATGGATACCTCGCATACCAAATGTTTCAGTTAATGTAGCTGCAAAGACTTTACAACTACCAATACATCCCAGGCAATTACAGGGCCAATTCTAGAAGCCACTTACATATTGGGACTCCATAGAACTAATGCTACGTGTTTTGGTCTTACTGCTAATATGCATCAGTGATCTTAGGGACACGGACATCCAGAGAAAACATTTTAAATGTATGTCATGCCAGAAAGTCTGTAAAAAAGCCTTTCCTAAAAAGCTTATATACTGCATGATGCAAACATCCTACAAAAGACTGACAAGTTTTTGGTGTCTGTCTTACTCTAGTTCAATGCAAATGTAATCTATTTGAGCACACGTTTTTGAAAGAGGAGGAAGGGGAAAGGAAGACCAGACACTCACTCTTACCTGAGGTACCAGGAGGTATGAGCTGTTTCACAAGAGCAGATTTCACTGGTGTTGAGGAGGGAGAGTTGAAACCACTGCTGTAGGGGCTACTAGTATTTGGACTATAGGAGCTTGCGTAACTGACCGCACTGAAAGGGCTGCTGTACAAACTCTGTCTCTTGAGAGCTGTATGAAAGAGGAGGAAAGAGACAAATTATACTGAAACAACCAGTGAAAAATGAATACAATACTATACAATATCTTCAGTGTGATTTAATTACTATACAATTCAAGTAGAACATTTCAGTGACCGAGAAGTTTTTCAACTGATTTCTTCATCTCCTAGATACAACCATACTGTGGAAGGAGTGGGAGAAGAGGGCAATACAAGATAACGACAAATACTTTCCTTGTAAAAAACGGATCTAAGATCACTCCAACTGATCTCTTCAAGATGTTCAATGCAGGCGTTGGGAAGGAGGAGGGAAGCAACTCAAAAGACAGTAGTAGCTAAGCTATAGTAACATACATCCTATGCACGACTACATACAAACCAGAGCACACCGAAAGGTCTAGCTCTCCAGAATTCAAAGACCTGTGTAGATCACACAATATTTCAACAGTAACCTGAAGACCAGCATCACAGAACTAAGCAATACCACCTACAAAATTCCCCAAAGCATACACTAAAATGAAAAACCATTAAGACGGCAAATGCTTCTGTTTATATTTCTGGGTACCATGAACCTACTGGGCACAATAAAGCAAACTGACTGTAGGATTATTTCCTTCTGTATACCTCCTGTTCTAATGCTTTGGGATTTTTACGTCCATGGGCTTCAACCCCATATATAATACAAGATCTAAAATTGTGTACTTTCCTCTACTATTTATTGTAAATATTTCAATGCTAAAGTATTTTCAGATGAATTTAACTACTGGTGAACATTTTCAGTATGATACTGCAATTCCCCTAGTTCCCAGGTATATGATTTGTGTAGTTACTTAAATGACTATTTTGTTCAGAAATTTACGTTTTATTTGAATATAATAGAAAATGGAACTTCAATAGGGGAAGTGGGAACCAAAGGAAAGTTGGTCCCTTCTCGTAAAATCAGTTCCTTCATTGCTGAAAGTATTTTATGCCAAACAGACCTGTATTTTAACAAAGAACAAATGAAATTGCAAAACATTAAACTGAAAGCTAGAGATCCAAACTCCATAATATGTAAATCTAGATTAGATTAAGTTGCAGCTCACCTTGCTGCTAGAAACTAACCTCTCTTCAAGGCATTACAGTATTGAAACTATGCATATATTATAAAGTGACAAGAATAGGCCTGGCAAATATATGGCAATACACTCAAGCGGTTCTTAAAAGAAAAGGCAGAAACTAAGCCATTCAAAAAATATTGTGCGATGTTTCTGTTACTGAAAAAGGGCTTCGATATCGGTAATAATTAGGCTACTGGTAGTGGGGGGGGGGGGGGGAATTGAATTTTATTATACTTGTCTATTCTACTGTGCCAGACAACTTGGCATCAATTTGTTTACTAAAAGTCCTTTTATTCAGTGTAAGATTTTTTTTTTTTTTTTAGACATTACAAGAAACCAAAAGATACTACAGTTGCATGAAATGCTGCCTTCAGCAGCACAGCCTGCTCCAGCTCCTCCTCCCACTCACTTTGCTCTTGGTCACTACCGCCTCAGTTGTTCAGTACAAGCAATGGTGGGGCTGCACTAGTATGCAGCCAACTAAAGGTGGATTTAGGCTAAAAACATCTAGAGTATTTTAACTGACTGCATCAGTGAATTAATTTTTAGTAGCACCCAAAAAACCATCATCCAACCAAATGGATGGCAGAATGCAACACAGAGGCAGAAGCAGCAGAAATTAAAGCTGACTTTGCAGCAGATTCCTTAAATTGCACCTCATGTAAAGATATTCTCTGGTGTCTGAACCAGTTAATATTAGTAGTGTTTTAATTAGAGTGAAAAGACAGTTATAGATAGAGAATGGAAAGTTTATATTCCAGCTTTCACTGCAAGTCTTAAATGATATGCACTAATTTCAGCAATTAATGGATTCTAGCAAGTATTCTTGAGGTACCTCCGGTTTATTTTGAGTGTTAGAAAGGAGATCTCCATTTTATTACAAAGCTCAGTTAACAAAACCAGTAATTACAAGCTATCTGTACTCTGGTTGACACTGAGGAGACAACTTCTTTGACAGCCAGTTCTTCTGGCATTCACACAGGAACCCCAAATCATCTATTCCAACTGAATCTTTGTTCTCATGCCAAAAAAAATTTAATCTCTTGCCAAAAATGACAGTAAAAAAACCCTAAAATATAACTCTGCACAACAGTTCTTTATTCTGTACTTATCACAGACAGGTATTTTAAAATATTAACCACAAATTAGAAAGCAATTGTACTACTGTATAACCTGCAAAACAGGCTCTTTGTACACACCCATAATGATACAAAATGTTTGATCACATACAGATTTCTTCAGATGAAAAAAGCATACTTTTGTTACATATAAAAAGCATACTCTGGTACATGATGAAACTTTGTACGGTGCAGCAGTTTTCATCCTAGCTAATGTGAACTTCTAACTTCCTTAGCACTGTACTTTTCCCCAGAAAAAAAGCTGGATTCAAAACATTTTTCTGGCCTAGAATTCCTGAAGTTTTTCCAACAGGGATTTCTGTAACTTAGGAAGACACTAATATTTTTACAACTAGACATATGGTCTTTATTAGGGGTGTCACACAACACTAGTAAGACAGATAACTCATTTTAACATTAAAACAATGCTATATTAGATGAAACATTAGCTTACAAAAGATTACACATTAGATTTCAAAACACCAGGGGGAGGGTTAATGATCAATATTTTTATTTTAATGTAAATTTTCTTTTATAACATTCAGAAACAGTATGCATCATCTAATTTATTTTAGTCAACACTTGTTTAAATTGGTCTTGAATCTCTCTTTTTCTCTACAAAATAGGAATAGAAAAATTTGAGTGCAGAAAATTCATGCTTAGGTGGCTCAGAAGATCTACTGTACGAATCAGGTGCAATTTTTCCAAATGCTAGAGGCTTGATATTTATTTTTGTTACGATTAAGTGACAAATTTATTCTAGCAGTCCCTGTAGTATTTCAAAACAGGGTGAACAAGCTCAATGCTTAACTGCATAGTCAGACTCACTCAGCGTGGAAAATATGACAGTTTTTACACATACAGCCACACAGTTCTCCTACCAGCTATACTGATCATACATTTGATTTCAAGTATTTAAATAAAAATGCTGCCTCAGTAAAAACTGCAATATGACCAAAGTTACCCTTTTCTAATTCTGTGCAACTATGTCTTAAGGAAGCACCGCTTCCAAAAATTCTTCCACCTCGTATTTCTCTGTTCCTGCAGTTGCTTTCTCGATGTGCTCTACTCCTATACGATTTTAGACCACCATGCGGTGGAAGCCATGGTTTCCAGCCAACGTGAAATGCACTCTTGCACTTTTCACCAAGGACTTGAGGCATGGCTAAGAGAGATCTTTGCACCAGAATATACCTCAGGTTCCTTCTAGTCTGAACATGCTTCTAACCCTGAGCAGGACTCACTCTGCAAGTGTAAACATGAACTAACTAGTGACAAGGCACTGTGCTCAGTGTTCTCAGTAACTGCCCGCAACAGCACGGAGCTGAAAGCCGCTCTTCCCTCCTTTATTATCACGCAGTGGAAAAGATTACTTTATAAGAAGAAAGAGGAGAATGTGGAACAGAAGAGTGCATTTGAGACTAAGAAACAGCAAGAAGATATTAGATTAGAAAGACATAACAACAGGAACTGACAAAGAATCACCAAAGTGAGCAGCTCCGGTGCCGGCATGATTGGCAGCGGAGCACTCTACCACAGTGCACAGGAGGGTTTCCCAAAGTGAGGGAGACTCAGGGGGAGCCCACAGCTCATCAAACAGCAGCTGGTGAGACCTGAGCAGGGACAGGAGCAACAGCGGCCGAGCCCCCCCACATGCCGTGGGGAGCAGCAGCCATCAGGAGCACCGCCAACACGGCAGGTACACAGGGTGTGGTGCGTCAGCCAGGGCACAGTGCTGCAGTTTGCGCAGAAGGGCGTGCAGGAAGGGCGCTGAAGCTCTGCCAGCTCAGCCAGGGAGCAATGGTATCCACCCGGCAGAAAGCCATGGCCTCTCTAAGCTCTGCAGCCACCATGACCGACACAGCTTCCCAGACGGAGCTCCAGTGGGAACGCGGTGCCAGCCAGGCGTCAGGCTGCAGGCTGTGCCCTGCTCTTGCAGCACACCTGTGGGAGGTACGCCCAGGCAGAGAGGAACTCCTCTGCTCAGTGACAGAGCTCCGGGAGGAGGCGAGTAGGTTGAGGAGTATCAGGGAGAGCAAGAGAGAGACAGACTACTGGAATTGCACCCTACCCTCCCTGAGACAGACCCAACAGGCAGACAGGACACGTGATACGGAGGATTCCCTATCCTCTCTCCGCCTGGCTGAACATGGTGACTTAAGGGACAGGGGGCAATGGCGACAAGTTCTGGCCTGGCGCAGCAGGCACATCTGCTCTGCGACTGCCCCACCTTCCCAGGTCCCCTTGCATAATAGGTATGAAGCTCTGCGAGTGGAACCAAACAACAAGGATGATAGTTCATCTAGCTTGGAGGTGTCACCAAGGTTAAGCTGGCCTACACCCTACATCAATACTGCTTCCATAAAGAAAAAAAGGCAGGTCATTGTCATAGAAGGCTCTCTCCTGAGGGACACAGAAGGCCCAATATCCCAGGTGAGACCCACTTCTTACGGAAGTCTGCTGCCTCCCTGGGGCCTGGGTTAAAGATGTGAAGAGAATACTTCCTACGCTGGTACAGCCCTCAATTTACTATCCATTACTGATTTTTCAGGTAGGCAGCAATGAAGTTGCAACAAGAAGTCCGAGGGCAATCAAGAGAGACTTCAGGGCCTTGGGATGACTAGTTAAGGGATCAGGAGCATAAGCAGCATTCTTCTCTATCCTTCCAGTTGCAAGGAATGATGAGGGAAAAAACAGGAAGAGCCAGCAGATCAATAGCAGGCTCCAAGCCTGGTGTCACAGGCAGAATTTTGGGGTTTTTGATCATGGGTTGGTCTACACAACACCAGGCCTGCTAGCAACAGACAGGGTACATCTGTCTCAAAGGGGGAAAAGGATCTTTGCAAATGAGTTAGCAGGGCTCACTGAAAGAACTTTAAAGTAGATTTGAAGGGGGAAGGGATAAAACCAGGCTCACTAGAGATAAGCCTGAGGGCAGCACACCAATGTTTGAGAGATGGTGACGTCTCAGTGGAAGTAGGGGATGGAGATCCATGTGACAGCAAAGATACAAGGGTTTGATGTGTTAGAATCCACAAAGCACATGAGAATGGTCACATAGGAATTAGAGCTTCTCCCCCCAAAAAGGGGGTGGGATCAATAGCCCAACTGAAGTGCATCTACACCAACGCACCCTGCATGAACAACAAACAGGAGGAGCTGGAAGCCATTGTGCAGCAGGAAAACTACGACACAGCTGCCATCAGGGAAACATGGTGGAATGACTGGCACAACTGGAGTGCTGCAATGGATGGCTATAAACTCTTCAGAAGGGATAGGCAAGGAAGGAGAGCTGGTGGGGTAGCCCTGTATGTTAGGGAGTGTTTTGATTGTCTAGAGCTTATGGTGATGATAGGGTTGAGTGTTTATGGGTAAGATCAGGGGGAAGGCCAACAAGGCAGATACCATGGTGGGAGTATGTTATAGACCACCCACCCACCATCCCAACCAGAATGAAGAGGCAGACAAAATATTCTATAAGCAGCTGGAAGAAGTCTCACAATCACCAGCCCTTGTTCTCACAGGGGACTTCAACTTATCAGACACCTGCTGGAAATACAATATGGCAGAGAGGAAACAGTCCAGGAGGTTCCTGGAGTGTGTGGAAGATAACTTCCTGACACAGTTGGTGAGTGAGCCAACTAGGGAAGGCGCCCCACTGGACCTGCTGTTTGTAGACAGAGAAGGACTTGTGGGTGATGTGACAGTTGGCGACGGTGTTGGTCATAGTGATTGTGAAGTGACAGAGTTGTTGATTCTTGGAGAAGTAAGGAGGGAGACCAGCAGAACTGCTGCCTTGGACTTCTAGAGGGCAGACTTTGGCCTATTTAGGAGCCTGGCCGATAGAGTCCCTTGGGAGGCAGTCCTGAAGGGCAAAGGAGTCCAGGAATGATAGACATTCTTCAAGAAGGAAATCTTAAAGGTACAGGAGCAGGCTGTCCCTGTGTGCCAAAAGACAAGCCAGGAGGGAAGACAACCAGCCTCGCTGAACTGAGAGTTTTGGCTGGAACTCAGGGGAACAAAAAGAGAGTTTATGACCTTTGGAAGAAGGGGAAGGCAAC